ATAGTAAATTCATGTTCATTTTGACTATAATTTTCTTTAATATTAAACATTAAATAAAGTACATGTTTTTATCAGTTACTAGAATACTTAAATTTTCCCAAAATTACATTTATATTTAGCCTTACATTTACTTAAATATACAATTTTAATACAAAATCCAATGAACTTGAGATTATAAAATATGTTATAACCCCTAAAGAATATGCAATCAAATACACAGTGATATTCTGGATATTATTTAAATGACATATTTTACAATTCAAATATAACACACGGAATATTTTCCATTTGCAAAACAAATAGATTAATAAAATAACCAAATGTATGAATAAAATTGCTTTTATTTTTTATAATCTCTTCAAATATAAAACTTTATTTTAATTTCTAGAATAGTTTAATTAAAATTTAAATAATTAAAAAAATCATTTATCAAAATTGTAAGTCAATTGGGGGTTGGAATGAAAATTTAATTCAATTGATGACATTTTCAAATGTTATGCTATAAAACTTAAACTACAAATAAATAAAACACAAAAAGATGTTACAAAATATACCACAACTGTAGCCAAACGGGTAAAAGGAAAGAGCATCCGATTGGATACATCCAATTGCCGTATATATACCAGTCCTCTATATAAAAGAGAATGCATTTCTTCTGTGCCTCGAAAGCTCTTAACAAATGCTTATTGAATGCAAACTCCGAGTTATAAAACAAAGACATCGAAAGCAAACACAAGTAAGAGATGGACAGCGGATGAGCCAACAAAAGGAGCACTGAATTGATTGATTTGAATGCTATCCTTGAACTCAGGGCTGTTATGCAGGCGATCGGAACGTAAACAAGAGTTAATGAGAGGGCAAGAGATATATTGACGAGAGATATACAGGCCATCAATAAAGCCGTGTTTAGAAGTGCCACACATTTGCGTGAATTGCGGTTCAATTGATTGGCTCTCATTAAAGGATTCATAATATATATTATGGAAACACTTAATAACGTGTAATAAATAACTTCATGGGTTTCGTAATTGGGAACTAAATTTGGATATTTCTCCACAAATAGTGGCACCAAAAGTGTCAAAAGTCCCAAAGCGTGACAAACAAAGCTGACTGGCATTGAGTTCCAGAGGTTTTCAGTACGATTTGGTGTCTCTTCTGCTGTCTTGAGGTATAAGTAAAGAGCGTTCAATACTAGGGGTGCGGCCAACAGACCGAATGGTATCATATAATAGCCGATAGATATGTAACGACGGGTTGAGGACAACAAATAGAAATAATAGGAACGGTTGAAGCGCTCCAACAAATTGTTGAGACTCCGGAATATGCCCTCAACTACTCGTCCCATTTGGAGCAGCGATGTCCTCATATATGAGTCCTTCTTGTTGTCCACTTCGGACGCCTCCAAAGTGATGGCCTGAATGGCGAACCGTTGGAAGAGTCCGTGCGCTCCGGTGGGCAGAGCTATGCCCTGCGATATCATCATCGATGCGGTGGTCGTCGCGTATTCTTTCCATAAGTCAAAGTCGTTTGTTTCGATGGGTTGTGAGCGGCCGTGAAATGTGGCGCTCACTGACTCTCGGGTGCAGAGCTCGACCGCCACATTGAATAGGTCTAAGTTAGGTAACTGTCCGTTCAGTCCCTCAATCTTTATATCCAAATGACTCGATATCTGTGAGTGAATCTCCAGATTAATGGCCGCCTGTATAGCACCGGAACGCGACTCAAGTATCCCGTGGTTTAAGACGGGAGTCGTGTCTATGTTGTGGTAGGCGTTGAGCCACGACTGCATTCCTATCAACTCGTATTCACTGATCAAGAATATGATGTCTTTGGCCCAATAGGTCTGACCTGTCATTCCCATTAAGAATCACATAATTATTTCCAATTCAAATAACTCTCAAATATATTTACGTGAAAAATATTTGGCGAGAGATATCATAAGCGCAATGCCCGGCAATGTGGAGGAATGGGGACTCAGTTTTGTCCGATAGGGAGACGACAGCACCAGAGCTTCAGTACTACCCGTCCGACCACTTCTTAGAATCGCGTAAATATTTTTACCGCTATATTGCTGTCAAATTAGACAATGCAATGAAAAGACATTATACGGACAAAACGGATCCAATGAATACCGGTTTGGAAGCGAAGGGATAATTGAAAGTAAAGTTATGGGAATAGACTTCGAGACCGATTTGCTTGAACTGAGAGCTCAGCCATTCGTACGGAACTGTATTCTCAGGTATTTCTTCGGACAACTTGTTCAGTGAGTTCAGTGTCTGTTCGGCCATCTCTTTCAGTGTGAACTCCCTCTGCACGAGACCCGGAAGAAGGGCGTTGTCACTGAAGTAGGTTCTGTCCGATTGGTTCAACAACAACACACTGACCACCAGTGCACTCAAGTAGGACACCACCGACAACTT